ATCAATCCATGGACTTCAGTGCTGCAATGAAGCAAAAATGTTACTTTATGTCTGCATGATATATATGTTACAGTATGAGATATATAAAATGAAGCCTCATTTAGTCCAAGTCAATGTGGACAAAGGTTTACAGACGGACGAACGGACATTGAGTGATCAGAAAAGCTTACTTCACCTTCCAGCTCAGTTGAGCTAAAATGAGTTTGTTCTCATCTTTGAACCTTCTGTTCTTTCAAAACAAATGCATCTATACTGTTGAGCCGTACTTTAATAAAATTTATTTACGTTTGACCTCAAAGATCATATAAACAGCTGTATTTACATGTGCAACACTGCACCTGGCTGATCAAAAGCGCAATAAACATGCATACGTTATAATTATGTAATTTATGTGTAAAACAAATCAAGAAATTAGTTTTTAATACAAAACGTACAATGTGAGTGACAAATTAAAATTAATTTAACAGTTATATGTAAATGATGCGATAATGAAATCGTACACTAGAAACAGACACGGGAATGCAGACAAAAACGGTGTAAACATGCACGTTCTTTGTTAAATATTCCAATTTTTTTTCTACGTGTGTCCGAAGTGTGCTTTTAAGAAAGTCAGGTCCAGAAAATCTGGATCAAGTGCAGCGGTGCCAGAAGGAAGTATAATTCGGTTAAAACAAGTCTGGGCCGTTGGATATGGCCCAGCATCACCAACAAAGGTGAGAGATGGCGTGATGGCAAACCCCAGCAGAGGTATGTTTTCAACGCAAGTGATTGAATTTAAAACATTTCTCAGTGAAATATTGTCTCCTCTTCTTCCAGCTGAAAAATTTATTTATAAATAAGTTTTAAAGGGTATCTTTAATTATCCTATAAACTTAACACAGGCACTAAATTGTTATGTTTCTATGTAACTAAAATAATCAAGCTATTAGCAACAGGTGTATGTTTATGATTTAATTGTGTGATTTTGGGTTGTTAATATCGTTTTACTTGAGTGCATGTGTTACCTTATGTATAACATTAAGGACAATAATGTATTTTATAAATTTTAAGCATATATAAATAATAGTTTATACACTTTGTGCTTTTCTTTGCACGTACGTGATCGAGGGAGGGTAAGGGTTTATGTATGACAACCTGAGATAGAGGAGGGTTCGTTAGGATGTGAGAAAGGGTGTGTGTGTGGGGGGGTGTGTGTTCGTGTTTGTTTCTCACCTACCGTAAACATCCCTGAGGAATTTAACAAATTCGTTGTACGTTTTCTCCTCTTTAGCTGGGCGAGACGATCCCCCACATGAGAAAGAGGGTGTTGCAGTTCCTTTGTTATTTTCCCTAAATGTGTAGCAGATTAAAAGAATTTTTTTGTTGCAGAAACTCATATAATTTTTTTTTTTCAAATGCAACAATATATAAAACACAAGGAGAAACAATATTTGGAAAGTGTGTATTGACTTCCATTTCGCCAGTAATTGATATGAAAATTAGTCTTACGGCAAAATAAATCAGATTTTCTGTTTTTTTAGATAGGGAATCCCCATTGTTCTGAAAAAGTGCCTCCTTGAAACAAAATAATTTTGATATATACACAAAGAGGCAGGAATTTTCTTCAAAACTGCCATTTCCGATTTTTGTTTCAAAGAGGCACATTTTTGAAAAACGCAAAAATTGAATAAAAATTATTTTCCAAACGAAATGCAAAATGTGAACTGTAAAGAACACTATATATCTATCGATTCCGAAATGGTCCAGTGGATATGCTGGTGGGCTTCCAACTAGTGCTTTTACCAGAGGATGGGTTCGAATCCTGGTATGGATCATTTTTTCCCCATATATTGTAGTGCAATGAAATTACACATTCTTTGAAAGAGAGATGGGAGATGGATGTCAAGACATTAATTGAGTAAAAACTAATCTATATATTTAAAATGCAGGATTAAATTGTTTTCCTTGATATGCTTTGACTTAAAACTAATGCTTTATTTGTTTTGTCTTGGAAAATAAAGTTACTGTTTTGTTTAAATAATATATTTTTTAAAAAAATTACAAATTGTAGTTATTGCAATTTTGGTCTCTTAGCTAGTAGCCAAATTTTTATATGAAACAAATAAAATGTCTTGGACGTAAAACCAACAGTGTGATTATGGGACGCAGTTTTATTTCATGAAAAAATATTTTCGCACGATGTCTACAGTATATCTTTCAAAATGCTGCTTTAACCATTGTGCTCTTGTTGTTCCAACCTCTTTTGTGCAAAATAACGAAAGTGTTTTGCTATATCAAGCAGGAAATACCCACCGTAAACATAGTCCTCTACGTAGCTGTATCTATATTTAGACATAACGAGGGTATTTAAATGTCCTTCTCGATATATAGGGAATAATCGCGAGTTTCTGCAACACCCTCTTTACTGTCAACAAGTGTATCAATTTATTGACGGTCAATGTTGTTGTTGCTGTCGTATGGAAGAGAAATTTAAATGTGCCTGTTCCCTGCATCAACTGAAAGAATTAATCATGCAGTTAATTGTATGATATATTTTGCACAGACTGTTTACAGCATTTACTGAATTACACGACGCAGTTCAAAACACATACTGTACAGCAGAAAATTAACTCGCGGAGTTAATATTCGCTATATTCGCGGAAAAAGAAATTCCGCGAATTCAACATACAGTGAAAAATTCTTAAGATTTTTAAAAGTATAAACTAAAATTTTATTATCATCTGTGTTTAGATGTAGACTGTCTTTATAATTATGCGAGTGTATGGATCAATTGTAAACACGTAGTTGTTGGTGGTTGTAAAGCTTATTAATTGTTAAATTAATTTCTATAGCAAACGATTAAGGTAATTTTGTCATCTAGTAAACTTGAAATGTAATTATCTAATAAAACAAGCTTGTATAATATTTCAATCAATCAATCAATCAATCAGTTTATTCTCTCAAACCATACAACATGGTACATGAGGAACATAGAGTATATACAGTGTCTATAAAGTCGTCAGAGGTACATTTAGTATAAATATACACACGTATAAATATATATACATATAAATATATACATAAGTAAATGTTTTACAACTGCATGTAGAGAGAGGATGTACTTAAAGTACATGAAATAATAATATATATGCAAAAAGAAAACACCAGGAGGACAGCTAAGAAGGACAGACAGTCTCAAATATTTTTGAAATAAATGTACATAGTTTTTTTAAAGATTGTATATTTGAATTGGCCATGAGTTCATAAAACTTGAAAACATTTGGTCTGTTGCAGTAACTTTTGTTGTCTGACCTCAAGGGGTCAGACAGTACTAGATTTAACCAGGGCTTATTTATGCAAGCGTTCCATGAATTTGTTTAGATAGTTCAATGGTGGAAATTTCGATCCAAGCATAATCTTCATGGACGCATGTAATTCGTCCCAGGAGGATATGAGCTTTTATTTACATTACTAAATGATCTTGTCTTTAGTATTAGCTGTGCTTTATCTTTGAACATGTTCACTTCAGTTCTCTATAAAACAATAATGCCTTAAATTAATATATAAATCTCACTTTGTTGTGTTGTGTATCAAATATTAAGCCATTTTATATATGTTATTGTTAAATAATTGATTGCTTATTTTCAGTAAAATTATACATTGACATTAAATTACTCGTACCTAAACATCAGGCAAGAGGTCGAATATATTTTTTTCTTGGTTGCCCTTCTCCAAGTATTGTAAAAACTGATAATACAGTGTCTGAGAAAAATGCAATGAAAACAGAAAAAAATGCCTTATTCAAGTTTGCTTATAATTCATTATCGTGTTAATAGATTTGTTGCTGTATTGTTATACTTCCACTCCTATCCAACGATTATATTTTGGACGAGATTACATTTATTATATCTTTGTTTCTTTTCCCAGATGCTTCAGCTCAAAATTTCATCAATCAATTACGTGTTAAGTAGAGAATCAGTGGAAATCAAATGGTTTGAGAAGCAATGAAAACTATCAGCAGGAGAATGGTCAGCAAGTGTAACGCTCTGTCAAGATTGTTATCATCAGGGTTAAGGTTATACGCGCCGATTAAGTGATCAATTAAGATCCTCCCATTGATTTCATCATTTACAACCTTCATATTATTCTGTTTGTTTACTCAGTTAAATAAAAAATCAGTTAGGTCATTTAACATATAAAACACTTGAAAAATGCTGACCCGGGATCTTGAAATATCTTCAGCCTAAGTCGACCAAAATCTTCATTTTATATAAAACATATTGATAAAATGTTGTAAAAGTCATGCAGACCAGAGGGGTTAAGGTTAACATTATTGTATACAATATTGTTTATGCATGGTCTCTTGAAGATATCTTATCAAACAAAAGAAATTATATAACATTTATAACATATTATTTTTTTTGCGTTTTATGAATTTAATACCAATTCTACGTAAATATCAAAATGACGTGGCCACGCGATGTCTTGGATTCAGCTAATTTTTTTTCTTACTGAAACTTCAATGAATGAAAAGATTGACTATATGAAAGAAAGCGTGGTAGTTTATCTGGTTGCCATGGAAACGGGACTAGAAGGTGTAAATTATAGTGGATATTGCTATTTTTCAATAATATCAAAAAAATATTTACTAGACAAAGCTGTTTATGTTCATATTTTTTTATATCCTTCATGACAATCAAAACTATGTAAAAAATTGCCAAGGTCACAAAAATTTTACAATTTCTAATTTTCTGATGCCAATAAAGTGAATAATTAGTCCTCGTTACCTCCCTTGTTAGACTTAATATTTAAAGACTTTGACAAGTGATGTGAAAATTCTAGAAGGGAGATTTAGATTCAAGAAATGTTACTTTGCAAATATCATTTAAAACATTTATGGGTAAATGAAAAATAAACATTTTATTACACTATAAAGTTGGTCTAAATGTGCGTTTTCTCTATCCGAGTTATTTCCCTTGTTGGAGCTCTTCGGCATTGAAGAATACAAAATGTAAAAATTGTAAACAAGATGGCAGACAATGAAATCTGCAGTTTTTTCTTCTTGTTTTGAAACATCTTGTTCAGGAAAATTCTACCTCAAGAGACTCAGAATTTGATGAAAAACAGTTGACAAAGTTGGGATAATCTTTAAGAAAAGCCAAAGGGTTGATCTGGACATGATGAGTAGTACACGTATAGCTACTCGTAGAAAAGAAAATAGGAGGACATCAGGGTGGTATGGGGGCGAAGGCCAAGAGGATTTTAGCTGTTCCCTTCAAGATGTCTTTGAAATAGAGATCGAGAGATACATGTAGTGGTGTGGTAGTCCCCGACCGATCCCGATTGCAATGTGTAAGTATTTTTTTATTCATAATTCTATTCAGGTGTCACATGTACCTGCATGGTAACTGATACCGGTAATCCGAGATTCCTTTGACTCTAACCTCTGACTTGTGCGCACAAGTCACAATAGATAGTTTTCACTAGACCCAAATTAACAAGAGTTATTTCCCGTTGGCAGCCATATTGGGGGTCAACATGCTCATATTCCTTCATTATTCAACCAATTTTAACTTTTTATACTGGTAATTGTGGGGTGGTAAGCATTGTTTTTCTTTAAAATATACATTTGTTAGAGCCTCTTCTATTTCATGATTTTTATTCCACAAAGATTTCCCCCAAAATATTTCTGCGACACCCTCTTATATTTGGTAGGACAAAGAGGGAAAATTACAAGGTTGACCAACAAGATGGCGGCCAAAGGGAAGTAACTCCTGTTTATGTGGGTCTAATGAAAACTATCTATATAAAAGCAGGGGTTAGAGTCAGAGGAATCTCGGATTAGGTAACTGACAGTATAATGAAATATAAGACAATAAAAACAAACAAAACCATGAAAACTTGATGCACAGTTGCACATATTACATGTACATGACATTGAATCAAATACTACTGTGCAATATATGTGCCCGTTTTGGGTACTGGTATTTTATTTTCTATAAAATTCAGTATATTTGAAGAAAATTGTATGAATTTATTTTTCCAAATGATAATATGCTTGTGTCCAATCTATTTTTACAAAAAGGATTTGTAGAAATCATACCTCGGAAATATTAAACCTTTGACTTCTGAAAATGATAACTGAATAGTGTGTTAGATTTTTTGAAATTTTTAAGCAATATCAGGACTGTAGAATATTTTAAAGAATTGATTAAAAAAAAGTGTAAGTGCAAAATTATGAAAGTACATACAGACACACAGATTTACAGATGCTAATAGTGTTCTAGATCTAAGTACATATACTTTGTCATACTATTGTGAAATCATTTTTGGGACCTTGATTCAATGGAGTTATTTGCTCTGCAAGGTAATGTATTGTAAAGTAGGTAAAGAAATCTATCCAAGGGTATTAGAATATGGCAACTCCTGGGCATTTGTACTTTCCAGGATGCAGCTTTCTGTCTCATAATTTTAATTTTACTGATCACTGTTTTTCAGCTATATATTGCAGGTATATCAATCTTGCACACAATTTAAATATGAATAGTTTTAGTTTGACAATATTGATCTGTACAGATGAGATCATTCTGATGCTGTGTACTTTACATGTCAAGGACATATTGTACAAATTAAAAATAGTCGCATTAAAGAACAAAATAAATTATACCACATTACGTTAGTATCTATAAAAGATGTATGTTTTTATTACAATTAATTTATGATATAAATAAATTTCATTTTCCACTTTAGAAATCAATTGTTGTCAAATTGATTTCTACTCTTAGTCTCTATATCTCTGGCGATTTGTCCAAACTGCAGAAAAGCTTTATATGTAAATTGAAAAAAAAATGCTTGATGACAACATTAAATCCACTCCTGTATCAATCATTCCTCTTGATTCAGAAAATTTTCAGGATAACATGTAAATATTAGGTACATGTAATATATATATATATATATATATATATGATGTTCAAGATTTTAACCCAAACTTTCAAATTAAAAAATAATTTTTAATTGATCATTGCAGCCCTTGCAAGATTTTCCTAATGAAGATTCTAAGGATTACAGATCCTCTAGCAAGAAGACCACACAGGTACATGTAGTGTGTATTAAGTTGCATGGATTCATGGTGACTTAAGACATGATTGCCACAACAATGCATAAAGGGAGATAATAATGTTTATAGGTTGAAAATGTATATGTTTTATATATAGCAAAATTTTAAGATTCCGGTTTTAAGTTTTTGAAACAATTTTTAAATGAATTTTTATCCAAAGTGACCAAAAATTAATGTTATTTTTTTTTTATGTGAACAGATAGAAATGACCAGAGCAGAGGACATACAGCCCCCCCCCCCAAAAAAAAAAAAAATTCACAGTGGACTGGAAGTAAATTTTACATGAAAAATACAAAGTAGGAAAAATAACAGAAAGAAAAGAGGACCCAGTTAAAGTTGTCACTGGTGCAAGATGGACGTAGAGAGGGTTTTCCAATGATCATTACTAAAATCCACAGCAAATTAATATTGCAAGGCTGAGCTACTTTTCAAACTTACACAAAAGGACATAAAGAAATGTGAATTCGAGGAAACCAAGCTGACATCAAATGAGAGAATATGAAGGAACAAATTTTAGCAAAAATTTTTTATTTTAAGCAGGGCATCTGTTTTCCTTAGAGAATATGTGTATTCTAAAGTGATTTCTTGTATTTTCCAAAAATGTCACTGTTGTCAAGTGAAGATAATGTCTTGTTTATTTTTTTCTATAAAAGCAGTTTTATGCTAAGAAGCAGTTTCTTCCCTTTTTATATCCCCACTCTGCAGGAGAGGTGGTATGCTGATTTATTATATACCCCCACATGGGCTCACAAATTTAGAGTTTTATATTGGCAGGCTTCACACAGTATGTCATGTATGATTAGAATATATATGAATACATTTTAACAAAACTGAGAACAAGATTAATTGTGAAACACTGATTCCCTATACATTGCAGCTTATGTCAAGACTTCCACGAGGTATCACAAAAAAGGTCTTGCCACAAGTAAAACACCTGTGAAATATGAAAATCTAGTCCAACTTCAGAAGTTGTGGTTAAGGTTAAAGTTTTTTAAGTCGGACAATGTCTAAGGTCAAGGTCAAATGGTTAAAAATATTTATACCCATTAAAAGATCATAGTATACATGTAAACTGATCTTCTGAATATGCTGATAAGCAATGTGGTAATAAAAGTTAATTCCACAATATTTAGCATATAAGGTCATTTAAACAAATTTGGCTGCCTTCCCCCAACAGACTAACTAAAATTCAAAACTTTTTTTTACATTGCAAGACAGGATGGTTTTTTTTATCCATCTTTAATATCTCGTCAACAAATATTATGAAATTTTCTGGGAAAAAGATTTTACAACCTACCTACCAAGGCGACTTAATAATTTTACCCTGAGTTGGGAGAGGGCAAACAAACATTATAATCAAGATGGTCTTGCCAACTTGTTTTGACATTATATTGTCTGACCTACTTTCATATTTTCATAAAATACTTTCATATCATTTATTAGATATGAGTTGGCCTGTTTACTTTAATTATACATTTTAAAAAAAATTAACCATAAAACAATTTTTTTTTAATTTGAACATATTTTAGTGAATAAATCAAAAGGATTGGACACAATTACAGGCCATTAACAGATTTGTAAGAATTTTTGGAAAATCACTTGTTTTATTTCATATTTAAATTAAAAAAACTAGAAGCCTGATTTGTTTCCATGGCAACATTTTAATTTACTTGTCACTGAGTTAATTTCAGAAGTTCTATTTAATTATTGAAAAGAAATTCAAATACTTGACATATATTCATACAACATAACAATTTGTTCAGTTTGGTAAAACATGTTCTTAGATGATCTTCTCTGTTATTTGTGATTAATGGAGGGGGGGGGACATTCATGCAATAATTTCTAGAAAGCTGTACATTTACCCATTAATTTTTTTTATTCTCACAAAACATTAAAATATAAAGTTTATTTAATGATACATGGTTACAAATATACCGGTTGTCAAAATGGTGAACAATTTCATTGAATATGACTAAAAAAGTCAATTTTGGCAAATTGCCAATTTTCATGCAATAATTTCTAGAAAGTTTTTGATTTACCCATTATTTTTTTTATTCTCGTAAAACCTTAGAATATATAGTTTATTTAATGATACATGGTTACAAATATATCAGTTGTCAAAATGGTGAAAAATTTCATTGAATATGACTAAAAAAAGTCAATTTTGGCAAATTGCCAATTTTCATGCAATAATTTCTAGAAAGTTTTTGATTTACCCATTATTTTTTTTATTCTCATAAAACCTTAGAATATATAGTTTATTTAATGATACATAGTTACAAATATATCAGTTGTCAAAATGGTGAAAAATTTCACTGAATATGACTAAAAAAGTCAATTTTGGCAAATTGCCAATTTTCATGCAATAATTTCTAGAAAGTTTTTGATTTACCCATCAATTTTTTTTATTCTCATAAAACCTTAGAATATATAGTTTATTTAATGATACATAGTTACAAATATATCAGTTGTCAAAATGGTGAAAAATTTCACTGAATATGACTAAAATAGTCAATTTTGGCAAATTGCCAATTTTCATGCAATAATTTCTAGAAAGTTTTTGATTTACCCATTAATTTTTTTTATTCTCATAAAACCTTAGAATATATAGTTTATTTAATGATACATGGTTACAAATATATCAGTTGTCAAAATGGTGAAAAATTTCATTGAATATGACTAATAAAGTCAATTTTGGCAAATTGCCAATTTGCTAACAGCCTTAATGCTGCAATGAAAATTCGCTTAATCTTCATTCAAATATCTTTGAATGAAATTAATTTCTCAGATTTAAGTAGTATGAGCTCACATAATATAATTTTCATGCGAGTTTTTACTAATTAATTGAATGTGCACAAATTTAATTTAAAACAGAGCAAAATTTGCTTAATCAGAGGGTTCTAAATATAACATCCCTGTTACCATGGCAACCAAATTGAAAAGTTAGACTTTAACATCATATTTATTAAAGACATACCAATTGTAGTAAATGGTGTGAATTTCAGGTAAATCGGAGATATGTCATGTCCACGACCCTACTTAAAATTTTGATTTTTATAGAGAATTGATATTAAGCAAACAAGGTCAGACAAGCTTTTTAGGAAAGCTAATACTTGTGTAAAAAATTTTTTCTTATATCTGAAAAAGCTGTACACTCTGAAATGTAGTGGTATTCATCACCTATCTTTCCATTGTTACAAAGTGAACATATTCTTTCATTTAATGGGGTGCCACACCATCTCTCTATTTCTACAGGTAGATGATGATTTGAGGTACGCATTTTCATCAATAACTTTCTTTGTTTTGGGTGTAAATTTTTAATATAGCTTTCAAATCCGAAATTAGTTTTAAAAACTCTGTAAATCTGGCCTTTGGAAGAACTATTTATATCATTTGACCATTTCTGAATGAATTGATCTTTTAAATTCTGATTTACAATAGCACTTAACCATTTAGCATTGACCACACCTTGCTCATTCCATATAAATGAAAGTCCACAATTATTTAGGATCTTTTGAATACATTCAATCCATTGACATTTAATACCATCATTACTTAATTGGTTATACATATACTTGTACACAATATTGACAATTTTATCTTCTGTACATGTAAACATCTTTGACCAGTATGTAGTCATTCTCGTAAAAACATTAATGTACAAAAGGAATCTTCCAGTTTCTCCGTATATCATGTAATTTGGTGTAGAACTTTTTAAATTAAATATAGTTTTTAAGAATTTTAAATGGACACGTTCAATGATATCCATATTTTCATAGCCCTATATCTCACATCCGTAAAGTAAAATGGATGTGACTACTTTATCAAACAAGTCAAGCTGACATTCAATCGGTAAATTAAATTGTCTAATTTTTCTTATCACCCCGTACATTGCTTTTTGTGCTTGCTCACAAAGATGTTTCTTCGCTTTACAATATGAACCTGTTCTTGATAATACAATTCCTAGATATTTAAATTCTTTTACATTTTCAATATATTGGGTATTGTAATAAAATTTCCTCTTTAACATTGGCCCTTTGGAGAAAACCAAGACTTTTGTCTTATCCACATTCACATTAAGTTTCCATTGAGTACAATAAGTATGGAATTCATTCAGTGCCTTTTGTAAATCATCAGCAGATTCTGCCAATATAACAGTGTCATCAGCATAAAATAAAATCAAAAGTTTTAAATGTAGTAATAATTCATCTTCAATTTCTTTACTAATAGTTTGTAATCCGACTATGTTTTTTTCTACCAAAAATTCTTCAAGATCGTTTATGTACAAGGAAAGTAAAAAAGGTGATAGATTTTCGCCTTGTCTTATTCAAAAAATCCCGAGGACATTCCATTTTGTTTCACTAAAGACTTAATTCCCATGTACATATTCCTTATATAATTAAAACATTTTCCGTTAATACCATTTCTGAATAGCTTATTCCACAAACCGTTTCTCCATACAGTATCGTGTGCCTGTTTAAAATCAATAAATGCACAAAAAAGTTTCTTTTTTCTTTTCATAAGGATATCAGATAGAAATTGTAAAGTTAAAATATGGTCTAATGTTGAGTAATTCTTCCTAAAACCTGCTTGAAATTTAGTAAGTTAATTTCGTTTGCATACATTTCTAGTCTATTCGCCAATATGCGGGTAAAAAGTTTGCCTAGGCAGCTTAGCAGAGATATAGGACGATAATTTTCAGGCTGGGTTGGGTCGCCCTTATTCTTATATATCGGTCTAACAATACCAATTAACCATTCATCTGGAACGAAACCACTATCAAAAATTATATTAAAAAACTTCTTATACAATGGTAACAAGAGGCCCACGGGCCTTATAGGTCACCTGAGTATTGTGTAACAACTTTCAAACAATTAAATTTGGTTTGTGTTTTAAACCAGAGGCCATGAAATTCAATTCACAATCTACAATTTTGAAAGAGGCACCATTGCTTATCATAATTATTAACTTAGCTTACTCTATTTACTTAATACCCAGAGGTAGATCAGAGTAACAAAAAGAAAATGCACTTCCATTTTATACCCAGTTGTGTACCTCACCCTAAAGGAACCACTGCTCCATGGGCCACATACCGGTATTTCAAAATTTTGAAAATGCTGTCATAAAATGGTTGATTAATACCAAAGAGCAGATTTCAAAGCATTAATTTATTTTCAGACTATGTAACCCCCCCCCCTCTCTGACTCTGGGGGCATAAAAAAACACTTTGCTAGATGCACCATTCTTCATCATAAATGTATGTATAATTGGATCATTGGCACAAAACCCAGAAGCAAAGGAAAATATTTTCAAAGAATTAATGTATGTTTACTATATAATCAATAGAGCCCCGCCCTAACAACAGAACACCTAACCCTGGGGCAATAAAATTCACAATTTTGGAAGAGGCACTGTTGCTCATCATAACTATGTGCTTAGTTAGTTTATTTAATACCCAGAAGCAGAGAAGAAGATTTTCAAAGAATAAATGCATTTTCACTATATAATCAATAGAGCCCCGCCCTAACACCAGAAACCCTGACCCTGGGGCCATAAAATTCACA